TCAGAAGCTGCAGATCAGCCTGACCAACATGGTGAAACCACATCTCTACCAAAACACAAAAATTAGCCGGGTGTGGTGGGGGAAGAATCACCTAGAGTGCCCACACTCCACGGGATCAATGACTTGCCTAAGATGTGAATCAACTGATTGGCAGAGCCAAGATTGCAACCTTTATCTCCTATCTCCCCAGCCTGAGAACTTTCCCTATGAGATTCTACCTCCAAGCCTTACATCATTCCCTTCTGGGTGGCGGCAAAGGAAAATGGCAACCCCTTCTCTTTCATCCCAAATACTGGCATCCAGGCATTGACACTAGCACTTAATAATATGCTACCCTGTTATAATGATACGCCAGGATTATTAGCACCATGGTTTTCTGTGTGTTGTTTTCCTCTCCCCAACGAAGCCTGAAGCGTCCTGGTGGCAAAGGCCTCATTTTCCACGTCACCTATAGGACCTTGCACAGGGCTGAGCACAGATGTCAGTAGGGAAGAGAGGCAGACAAAGGGAGGCTGCACACCCAAGTCGGATGGCCCTGGCTCCAGCTCTGCGTTTACCACCTGCGTGACCAGGAGCAAAGAGGGACAGCAGACCCTGGGCCCCGGGATTATCGAGAGGTTCAAAGCATTTCATACCATGGCTGGTACATGACAACCACTTAGTAAATATAAGCTGCAATTAGTAATAACAGAAGTAGCAGCAGCAGCAGCAGATTTAGGCTCAGTGAACACCAGCTACACACAAAGATGGGAGACCTGGGTCCAAAAATCTTCTGCTTATTACTGCCTATTAAACAACTAAGAAAACATTATCAGGGGTCTCCTTTTTCCTATCAAATAAAGATGTTCAACGACCACACACAGTTCTCAATGCCTCTCTTCGTAAGAATGGATCAAAATCCCCAGACCAAAATCCCCAGGATGCCTCTCTCTAGAGAGCTTCCACTCCGTTTTGGCCCTATCCCCAGTCCCAGGAAAGCAATGTTGGGTGCTCCACATTCCCTAAGGACCTGACTTCTAACCACTTCCTTCCCTTGCTCTCTTTAGTTCATTCATTCATTCAATGAACACATATTTATTAAATGCAGGACACTATGATCAAAACCTAAGCCACTCAAGTGCCCTACCTTCTAGGACCTCCCAGCCCCAAGAGTCCTCAGGTTTCTCTTTCTTAATCAGAAACTACCTTTGCAGGCTCTCCGTTCTCCCAAGCCACCCTTAGATGCCTGTCTCATTATCAGCAATAATAGCAGGGGCACTAGAGTTAGACTGCCAGGGTTAGAATCTCAGCTGTGCTACTTTCTTATCACGTAACCACAGGCAAATTCTTCCCCTGCCAGCCTCACCTACCTCATCTTCAGAATGAGGGCAATAATACCTACCAATTAGACTTGTTGTCAGAATGAAATAAAAACCCAACGAAGTGTGCTTGGCACATAGTAATAAATGCTCACTAACACCATTTTATAACTTACCTGAAACACCCACGTTTAAACCTGGAGTGGCTACTTGGCCATTCACACGGCAAAGAACTAACCCAACCACAGAAGAAGTAAAACGTCCTGAACTATTTCTGTATCATAGCAAGACTCTCGTTTTTCAAGAACATGCCAAGCCAGGTAAGCTCTACTGCTTCCTGGGAAAACGTAGCGAGTCCCCTTCAATGGGTTACTAGTGAGTTCTACCTGGTAATTCAAATTTGAATAAGCTTCTACCACAAAACACTCTGAGATCTCAGCTGGCAGGAAAGAGTAAGGGCCTGACCTGGGCTGGGGGAACCTGCTACAGAGGGTGACCCCAGAGAGTCTAGAAGGCAGCCCGAGGCACAGCATCCAGGCTTAGCGCACACAGGTTCTGGTCCCCAGTGACAATCAAATCAGAGCGAGGGGAATCCTGACAACTGTCAATATTCAAGTTCCAAGACGGTGCCACTGTGGTCCTGGGTGATTTGCCACTGACAGCACAAGTCTCAGTCTGTGACCCATGGTATGAAGACAGGTCCAACTCTCCAGAGAGGCAGCTGGCAACAGCCAGATAGGATTCCCCAAGCAAGTCAATTTGGGTGAAGCATAACCCTAGTGGGAAAGCATGACATGAAGCAGGTAAATCAGTACAAAAATCCATTCGAATGACTTGCGCTCAGATGGCAGCTGAGGGGGAGGAAATACACAAAGAAGGCGAATGAAGAGGGAATTCGAAGACCCGTAAGTTACCCAGGGCTCATCTCTGGTGTGCCCAAAGCCAAGTCTACTGGCAACAAAGACTTAACTCCGGCCAAAGCAGGAACATCACTTGAAACCAGGAGTTGGAGACCAGCCTGGTCAACATAGTAAGACTCCCCCAACCCCGAATCTCTACAAAAATAAAAATAATTAGCCCAGTGTGGTGGCACACACCTGTAGTCCCAGCTACATGGGAGGCTGAGGTGGGAGGATCCCTTGAGCCCAGGAGTTTGAGGCTATAGTGAGCTATGACTGCATCACTGCAATCGCAATCCAGACTGGGCAACTGAGTAAGACCCCAAATTAAAAAAAAAAAAAAAAAAGGCTGGGTATGGTGGCTCAAGCCTGTAATCCCAGCACTTTGGGAGGCCAAAGCAGGCAGATCACTTGAGGTTGGGTGTTCAAGACCAGCCTGGCCAACACGGTAAAACCCCATCTCTACTAAAAATAACAAAAATTAGCTGGGCACGATGGTACATGCTAGTAATCCCAGTTATTCAGGAGGCTAAGGCAGGAGAATCACTTGAATCCAGGAAGCAGAAGTCGCAGTGGGCCGAGATCATTCCACTGCACTCCAGCCTGGGTGACAGAGTGAGACTCTGTCTCAAAAACAAGGGGAAAGAAAAGAGCAAAGGAAGGGAAAATGACATCACAGGGCCTGAAGGCAAACTAGCCCATGACATGACAAATAGCAGCATTCCAGGCTGAGCTGAGGGTGTCACAGTGTGCCTAGAAAGGGTTCATTCTGAATACTCAGCACTTCAAATGAAAATAAGCAACAGGTTTATCAGGGCTGCAGAGTGAAACACGGGCTCAGTTATACTTAGGGGTAATCTTTCCTGGAGAAGGCAATTAGCAGCAGCTGACTTTCTGAGTATGCTTTCCGCATCTATACTGTTTTTCTCAAATGCCCAAGGCCACTGGATGATTAGTCCCTGGACAGTGACCTAGAAATTCACATAACTCGTTTTCCACAACACATCTTAAAGCACAACTCCATCCCCGAGACATCCAGAATTTCCTCTTCCCAAACCTCAGAACCAAAGCCAAATCCCAGACCTCACACCCTTCGACATCCCAGCACAGCCACAACCTATGACCTTGCTGTTCAGAGGCCATGCCAGTGTTTGCAGGCTCATTCCACCAAATTGTTCAAGGGCCGGGGAGGGAAAGAGCTAGCAGCACTCAGAGCCAGAATAAGAAAAGCCTTGAGATCCCAAATCAGGGTGAAGCAACTTGTTCCCAGAGCAGAGATGACTCCAGGGACTCCCAGACATAGCAATCAAAGGTAGGTGGCCCCCATCTTTGTGCCTGACCTCTGCAAGATGCTCAGCAAGTCACCTAATTCTGGCCCCATCCTTGACTACATCCAGTGCATGTCAGACGCTCCCTTCTCATGTGCACCATGAGGAAACAAAACTGGGTGACCTCCAAGGTCACCTCCAATCCAGGATTCTAGGACTTCCTGAGTCAGGAGACCAGAGAAGTCCAATGTGCGTCCGGCTGAGGGAAGCAGGTCACATTCTCTGCTGGGGAGGGGCCCCCAGACTAGAAGAGCAGGAGCAGCCACTGGCCACAGCCCTAGAGAGAAGTGACAGGAAACAAGCCATGCCTTGGAGCCTGGATGCAGGACTTGGCTCTCACACACAGATCCTGGCTGGCCTCCACGCGAGAGAGCAGACACCAGATGCCAGGGTCAGGAGAGTGTCCTTCTCTCCAAGCTAAGATCTGAGATGGTTTTCTGTGTGTGCGTGGTGTGTATGGTACATGTGTGTATGTGTTTGTGCCTATGGTATGTGTCTGTGTGTGTGCGTGTATGTGTCTGTGTGTACATGGGGTATATGCACATGTGGTGTGTGTGGGTGTGTGTGTGTACGGGAGTGTGTGTGTATGGTGTGTGTGTGTGTCTCTGTGTGTGTTGTGTGTGTGTATGGATTGTGTGTGTATGTGGGTGTGGTGTGTGTGTATGGAGGGCATGTGTGTGTGTATGGTGTGTCTGGTGTGTGTATGGTTGTGATGTATGTGTATAGCATGTATATATGTGCGTCCTTGTATATGTATGTGTATATATGTGTGTATGGTGTGTGTCAGATGTGGTATGTGTACGTGGTGTATGCATGTGTGTGTTTGTATAGTGTGTATGTGGTATGTGCATGTGTGTATGTGTGATGTCTGGTATGTGTGGTGTGTGTATATGAGATGCATGTGTATGAGGTGTGTGTGTCTGTGTGGTATGTGTGTATGGGGTGTGTGTGTGGTGTATGTGTGCATGAATGTTCGTGTGTGTGTGTGTGTGTGTGTCTGTGTGGTATGTGTGTATGGGGTGTGTGTGGTGTATGTGTGCATGAATGTTCATGTGTGTGTCTGTGTGGTATGTGTGTATGGGGGGGTGTGTGGTGTATGTGTGCATGAATGTTCATGTATGTGTGCATCTGTGTGGTATGTGTGTATGGGGTATGTGTGTTGTGAATGTACACATGAATGTTCGTGTGTGTGTGTGTGTGTGTGTGTGTGTGTGTGTGTGTCTGTGTGTGTTGTGGAGTTGACCCCTCCCTGCTGATCCTCAGGTTGTGTTACTCATGAGTCCAGGCCTTCCAGATACTGCACTGGATGTAGTCAAGGATGTGGTCAGAATTAGGTGACTTGCTGAGCATCTTGTGGAGGTCAGGCACAAAGGTGGGGGCCCCCTACCTTTGACTGCTAACCCCGTGTACATTCCTCCGGTGCAGTGATGGGCACCCAGTCACCCTATCCCTTCCCACTGACCCGAGAATCTTACCTGGGGGTTGTCCATGTACCAGAGGAGGCAGTTGGCCTGGGTGTCCAGAATGAAGTACCTCCGCAGAAACTTGCCGCTGTTCTCATGCTCCTCGATGTCCAGAAACCCACAGATTCGGTTCTGCCGATCCACATAAGGCATTCCTGGGCTCTACTCACATCACCCTGCGCGCAGGAGGGAGGTGCTGATGAGAACGAAGATGAAGCAGCTCTGCCTCAGGACCTGTGGGAATCTTTCCCAGAAGCTGGGCTGAGACTCTCTCACCAGCTTCCTTCCGTGGGGCACCAAATGTTCCACCACAAACCCTGGAAACCACTCTCAATATTAAGCACCCATAAACATGCATTCACACGTATTCCACGCACTTTTCCGAGGCTCTATGTGCCCAGGATAGCATTGGGCACTTTACATCCATAGAGGAGATAAGCCCAAACTTTAGATCAGCAGCCTGCATTCAAATTCCAGTTCTGGACACTTGTTAATTGCATGACCACCAATTATTTAACCTTCATGTGCCTCAGCTTCTGCATCTGTAAAACAGGGTTAATAATAGTACACCTCGGGCCGGGCATGGTGGCTCACGCCTGTAATCCTAACACCTCAGGACACCAAGGTAGGCAAATTGCCTGAGCTCAGGAGTTCAAGACTAGCCTGGGCAACATGGTAAAACCCCTTCTCTACTAAAATAGAAAAAATAAGCTGGGCATGGCAGTGGTGTGCGCCTGTTGTCCCAGTTACTCGGGAGGCTGAGGCAGGAGAATTGCTTGAACCCAGAAGACAAAGGTTGCAGTGAGTTGCACCACTGCACTCCAGCCTGGGTGATAGAGCGAGACTCCACCTCCACCCCTGCCCCCAAAAAAAGTACACCTCATAAGGCTTGGGCTGAGAATTACGTGGTATGCATATAGTAAGTACTTCCTCAAAAGCAGTTATTATCATTGCTCTGCACAAAACCTTGTGAAGTGGCTCACAACTCAATTTTATACACGGAAGAAACCACTTCAGAAAGGATGTAAGCTCCAGTTCAAACATCTGGATAAAATTCTGCCAGGCTCTTGAACAATATCCCACAAGCGCAGGCAACCAAAGCAAACATGGACAGGTAGGATCACTTCAAGTTAAAAAGCTTTTGCACAGCAAAGGAGACAATCAACAAAGTGAAGAGGAAACCCAGAGAATGAGAGAAAATCTGCAAATTACCCATCCGACAGGGGATTATCAACCAGAACATATAAAGCGCTCAAACAACTCTATAGGAAAATAATCGAGTAATCTAACTTAAAAACAGACAAAAGATGTGAATAGACATTTCTCAAGAAAAACACATACAAATGGCAAACAGGCATATGAAAAGGCGCTTGACATCACTGATCATCAGAGAAATGCAAATCAAAACTACAGTCAGATATCACCTCACCCCAGTTACAATGGCTTTTATCCAAAAGACAGGCAACAACAAATGCTGGTGAGGATATGGAGAAAAGGGAACCTTTGTACACTGTTGGTGGGAAGACAAATTAATACAACCACTATGGAGAACAGTTTGGAGCTTCCTCAAGAAACTAAAAATAGATCTACCATACGATCCAGCAATCCCACTGCTGGGTATATACCCAAAGAAATGAAATCAGTCTATCGAAGAGGCGTATCTGCACTCCTATGTCTGTTGCAGCTCTGTTCTCAATAGCCAAGATTTGCAAGCACCGTAAGTGGCCATTGGCAGATAAATAGATAAAGAAAATGTGGCTTATATATACAATGAAGTACTATTCAGCCATAAGAAAGAATAAGATCCTGTCACTTGTAGCAACATGGATGGAACTGGGGATCATTATGTTAAGTGTGAAAGAAGCCAGCCACCGAAAGACAAACATCTCATGTTCTCACTCATTAGTGGGATCCAAAAATCAAATCAATTGAACTCATGGAGATAGTAGAAGGATGGCTACCAAAGGCTGGGAAGGGTAGTGGGCTGGGGAGAAGGTGGAGATGGTTAATGGCTACAAAAAAATAGTTTGAAAGAATGAATAAGACCTACTATTTGATAGTACAACAGAATAACTATAGTCAATAATAATTTAATTGTACATTTTAAAATAACTAAAAGAGACTGGACATGGTGGCTGATGCCTGTAATCCCAGCACTTTGGGAGCCCGAGGCGGGTGGATCACTTGAGGTCAGGGGTTCGAGACCAGCCTGGGCAACAAGGTGCAACTCCGTCCCTATTAAAAATAAAAAAAATAGCTTTGCGCAGTGGCAGTACTGTAGCCAATGAGGTTTATCTGAGGCGCAATTATTGCTAATTGAAAAAATATATATATTTTTTATATATATATGCCCAGCATATATATGTATAGTAAAATATATATATTATATATATATACAAATATATGCACATATATATTTGTGTATATCTATAGACATGTGTGTGTGTGTGTATATATATATATATATATATATATATATATATATATATATATAATTAGCTGGGCATAGTGGCACATGCTTGTAATCCCAGCTGCTCTGGAGGCTGAGATAAGAGAATCTCTTGAACCCAGGAGGCAAATGTTGCAGTGAACCAAGATCACGCCATTGCACTCCAGCCTGGGCAACAAGAGCGAAAGTCTGTCTCAATAAAATAAAATAAAAACTAAAAGAGTATAACTGGACAGTTTGTATTACAAAGGATAAACGCTTGAGGGATGAATACCCCATCTTCCATGAAGTGACTGTCACATGCTGAAAGCCTGTATCAAAACATCTCATGTACCCCATAAATATAGACACTTATTATTGTACCCACAAAAATTAAACATAAAAAAGTTTTTTGAAAATTCTGCCAGGAATTAAGTCACAAAGGACAGCCTCTGCAGCTCCCTGAAGATACTAAGAGATTAAAAGGCAAGAGGTTTCTGGATCCTTGAGGTAGGGTCACAGTCCTGGCCCAGCAACTCTTATGTCACTTAGCTGTCACTGTTGTGGGCTGAATTATGTCCTCTCAAAATTCCTATGTGGAAGTCCTAACCCCCAGGCCCTCAGATGACTGATGACTCCAACAGAGCAAAGTTCATGGTGGCCAAATAGCTCCAGTCCACGGAGGCCCTCTGTCCACAGCCACACAAACTTGTGAGATGGCCGGCTCAGGCCATCCCCTGCAACAGGACACTGGGTCAGCAGGTGAGGTACAGAGACCCGACAGCCCTGGTCCTGCAGGCCCAGAGGGAGACACCTTCCTGCAGGGTGATACCAGGCAGATTCAGATCAGGCCAATTCTAAGTAAGGATGGCAACTGGTGGTGTGGCGATTGGTGGCAATTGGTAGTGGTCTCTCAAATCCCCACAAGGCACGGTGCTGAGAAGCAGCCCCTAGGAACAAATGTCCCCCGAACACGCACATGGATACCAGTGAGCCGTGAATCCCTTGATCCAGGTGAGGTCAGGGGGACAGAAGACAAAGACATCAGGGAGACATGTCTAGGGATTCCACAGCCACTCACTGCGAAAGGATAAAGGACAAAGAGCAAGGCAGGGGAGAAACAGGGCAGAGGTGAAACAGCACAGCTACGGAAGAAGTCAGAGGAGCTACCGTAAAAGAGGTGGTGAGAAGGATCAGCAGTGGGCAGAGGTTTGGGAAACACGGCAAGAAGGACGTCTTGCCGCACAGCAGAGCCCGGGGGAGGCACACCCCTGCCCGAAGCAGCATCCTTCCATATAGCACCTGTGGACAGACCCAGTGCCTCCTCTAACAACGCTTCCATCCCAGCTCCAATTTCACCATGGAACAAGTTTGAGTTCAGAAACAGGAGACAGGCAGGCACAAGCAAGAATGAGGAACAGACACCACGGGAGGAACGTGAAGTCTTGCAGCAGACACTGGGTCAAAGGCAGCAAGGGAAGAGGTCTGGCACTGGCTGGGGCAGGGGGAGCATATCCTGGAGAGAAGCCACAGCTCCCCGGGGTGATGGGGAAACAGGAGTCCTGCCAGAAGGGCTGGGTCTGCCTTCTGGGAGGGTACAGAGCTACCTGTTCAGAATGATCCCCAGCCCCCCAAGAAAACCAAGCAAACCCCCTTGATGCCCAATCAGTCACGGAGACAGAATTTGCAGGGGCTGCAAGAACTATCACTACTCCTGAGGCATCAGATGAAATACACAAGCTGCCGTGGAAGAGCAAAGCTGTCTCTGAGCCCAGTCGGTAAGCACCGTGTCTAACTTAACACCGGCTTTCAAATTTCTCCTTTTAGCCTGCAGGATCCGTCATACCTGTCTTTTTCTTTTTCTTTTTTTTTCTTTTTGAGATGGAGTCTCGCTCTGTTGCCCAGACTGGAGTGCAGTGGCACGATCTGGGCTCAGTGCAACCTCCGCCTCCCCAGGTTCAAGTGATTGTCCTGCCTCAGTGTCCTGGGTAGCTAGGATTACAGGTGCATGCCACCATGCCCAGCTAATTTTTGTATTTTTAGTAGAGATGGGTTTTGTCATGTTGGCCAAGCTGGTCTCGAACTCCTGACTTCAGGTGATCCACCCACATCAGCCTCCAAAATTGTTGGGGTTACAGGCATGAGCCACTGCCTCTGGTCATGCCTGTCTTTTTCCGAAGTCAGAGGCTAAAGAAGGCACTCTTTCTACAATCTTCCCAAAGTCCAATTTTGTTTCAGAGGCCTCAAGGTGGGAGAGGGCTCTCACGGAACCACAGGAAAGATAAGCATTCAGGTTACAACATCTCCTGACTGCGGATCTATCCCTAAAAAAAAGCAGCTGCTCGGATGTCCTGAGAAGTAGCTGAGTCACAGAGCTCATCAAGAATGTGGGAGGCAGAGGGAAGGACTGGCTGCAAGAGAACGGAGCATGCAGGAGAACAGAGCATCACACAGAAATGTAGCTCTAACTGGCTGACCCACGCAGCAGCAGCACACTCAGATGCTGCTCACAACGTGAACCACGGGTCCTGAACCCTCATCCTCTGACAGTTCGTTCTGATCCCATTTGTACATCCCTTGTCTCAACAGCTGCTAAGATTGGGTCCACAGAGCTGCCCCAGGCCCCCGATCCCCTGTCCTCGCCTCTTCAGCCATGTCACCATCATCTTCCACATCTTCCCTGGCTCTTTCTCTTCTTCACAGAGGCTGTGTGGAAATCAACCGTGCCAGCTCATCCCTAGCTTCTAC